GAAGAACACACAGCTACTGACCCATCTTCTCTACAGCATACTCATATTTAACCAATTCCTTCATCTTTGCTGTAATCTACAGGGTTAAATGAGGGGATTTAAGGGTAATTCAATGTCTTGCTGAGATCGGTTGCTATGGCCAAACAGGGCTCCCATGTGTGCATAATTTTAAAAAATATCTTGCATTTAGAATTATAGAATCATGGAATGATTTGGGTTGGAAGGGACCTCAAAGATCATTCACTTCCCCCTTACCGCCCTGCAGCTGAGAGCCCAGCGAACACAAAAAGTTTTCCATCATCTGACTTACCTTATTTCATTTTGATAATTAGATCCTAAAAATGAAAAAAAAAAAAAAAAAGTGTTTTAAATGCAGGAAATTAAAATTTTAAATTTCTGTTAAGTTCTCTAAGAGCATGTCCTGAGTTCCAGTTACCACAGGAGCATCTCTCCATCCTGTCTGCAAAATTGGGCAGCCCTGTAGAGCATTTTACATGGAAACTGGAGTTAGGCACACAGCACTGAAAACATTCTTCATTAAAGAACCTTCAAATGTCTTTAAACGTCAAAACTTCCCAAAAACATGAGCCCCAGGAGTTAATGTGAAGGACTGATACTGACTGGAATAAATTTATGAGAGAAACTTGATGGTGAAATTAAGAAGGATCTTAAACAGATCATGGTTAAGAGCAGGATCTGCCTGCTTAGTCTTCTGCTTACAGGTGCAGCATCAGAGCTGACACAAGTAGATTTATGTCTAATCAAAAACCACTTTTTAATGTTTAGACCAGCTGTGAAGGCCCACTCACCTTTCCTCTTCAGGCAGCAGCGCACAGCAACCACAATAACAACGACCAGCAGAACAATGCCAAGAAATGAAAGCACAACTGCAAGTACAACAACCCACGTGCTCCTGTTGTCTTCACTGTAATAGTTTTCTGTTAAATGGAGAAACATTGGACTGTCAAAGCCTCAAAACATCCTCTTCTGTGTTTACCTATTCAGTGAGATGCTATTAAGTGTTTGGTGAATATTTAACAAGGAGTCTGTGTTTTCCAAATGACAGTCTCTGTATTTATGGATGGCGCCCAAGAATTTAAAATATTCCTGAATTCAAATCCTTTATTGCAGTTTTAGCTTCTCCCACTGCTACTTCTCTTCTGAAAAGCACGGTGTTGCAACCTTCAAACTTAACTTTATAATTATGCTGGGCATCCTGAAGTCCTTTGGAGACATTTGGGGAAAGGTGTTAAGATTCAGTTTAGGTGTCCATACTGCAGATATTGAGTGTCTTGCTTGGCTGCTCTTGTCAGTGGAGATAAAATAGGTATTTTGTGTTACAATTAATTTGATCAAATGTGTATGTGTCCCTTTTAATAAAGTGAACTGCTTTGAAAAAAAAAAAAAGTCAATTTCTCCCCATAAATCACAGCAACAGTTGTAGGTGATTAGTACAAATGGTGATCTCTAACCTAGAAAAAATATTTTCTAATCTATTATGTCGTGGGATTTCTCTCAATGATTTCAACAGGTGTTTGATTTTGGGATGTGCTTGGTGGGACTTCTGTTCCCCACTTAAAGAGCATCAAAGAGCAAAACCAGTGAAGAACACACAGCTACTGACCCATCTTCTCTACAGCATACTCATATTTAACCAATTCCTTCATCTTTGCTGTATTCTACAGGGTTAAATGAGGGAATTTAAGGATCATTCAATGTCTTGCTGAAATCAGTTGCTATGGCCAAACAGGGCTCCCACGTGTGCAGAATTTTAAAAATACCTTGCATTTAGAATTATAGAATCATGGAATTATTTGGGTTGGAAGGGACCTCAAAGATCATTCAGTTCCACACCCTGCCATGGGCAGGGACACCTTCCACCATCCCAGGTTGATTCAAGCCCTAGCCTTGGACACTTCCAGGGCTGGGGAATATTTCTCAGGCAGCTGGATGTGCTTGAGGAAGGTCAGTTCTGCTTGTCCCATCATCCTGCCCCTTGGTTTGACCAAATATTCCAGAAGCCCCTCCAGTTTGGCTTCCCTTTGGAAAGCAGCCCCAAAACACTTTTGGTAGTTGTTTAGAAGCAATGTTCCCATCCAAATTACAGCTGTGAGACACGTGCAGATTTGGCACAGTTTTGTCCCATGGGTCTGTGATTGCCTTCTCCTCATTCGAGGTCCCAGTTAACAACCCCATGGTCACACTTGGCTCTTGGTCAGCCTCTGGAAAAGGCACCACAGGAATGAGGGTGACTGGGAGCTGCTCAAGGTCAGGGCAATTCCCCTGATGTGGGAATCAAGTTTACCTCTGACAGGGAATAAACTAAATCCTTTCAATCTAAAAATATTCGCGTATTTGGAGGTTTCAGACTGAAAAGATTCAGTACCAGAGCCTCCTACAAAGCTTGAACCTCTGCTAGGAACCTGAGTTCTCCAAAGCTCAGGTCATTATCAATAAGCAATTTGTTCCAGGCTTTCTCTAATCCTAATACTCAACTAGCATGTTTGGAATTTCTTCTATTAAAAAGAAAAACAAGCACTCAGACACCTGAAAATTAGCAGTGAATCCTGTAGGCTGCTATCAATTGATTATAAATTGTTCATTGTATTTTTATCTAGAAGTACTGCAACAGATAGCTACATTTTAGTACATTTTGTTCCATAGAGACACCACAGGGATTTCAAGATGACTAAAATATGAATGACATCTATTTAGCTAGAGGGGAAAGCTTAACCCTAGTGAGAAGGGAGGAGCTAAACATGCCTGCACTAGCCTATTCCTGCAGGCTGGCTGCCACACCAAGGTGTTTCATCCCTGCCAGGGTCAGGTTATGGAACCAGAGACTTATGGAGCTGAAGCCACAAGGTATAACACAAACACTCCCAGAGCTTCAATATTTTTGTGTCTCTGCATTCTTGGAGGATGCAGAAAGGAACTGGGTGTGAATGAGGAGCTTATGAATACACAAGCAGGGCTGCAAGGGAGGGGCATGACAGGATCAAAGAGTTAAATGCCTTTGAGTCCCTTAGGAAACCCAAGTTCCGTGAAGTGTTTAGTGTGGACAGAGCCCCTTCCTCATTCCACAGGGCCCATCCTCTGCTGCCATCCCGACCTCTGGCTCCTCCCTAAGTTGTCCAAACATTGACTTTGACAAAGTGTCTGCAGAAAAGGGGATTTTCCCAGGCAGGTGCTGGTGACCAGTGAGGAATGAGAGACTGGATAAACCTGCACGCTGCTTCTTGGACACTTTGGAGCTTTCTGATTGAGTTCAAAAGCAAAGGACATCCAGACTCATGGGAGACTGTCCTCAACTTCTGCAGGTCAAAAGCCACGGGAATTCAACACCAAAGCCAAAGACAGCTTGGACCCAGCTAAGGAACTCCACCATGGATCCCATTCCAAGTAACGGCTCTGTGAATTAATCTCCTGGGATAGCTCTGTATGAGTTCCCAAATTTCAGATTTCAAATTTCAAATTTCACTCTTCCTACCACTGTAGGAAGAGTGAGTGACATAAAAATGCATCACTTTGTATGGAAAGACTGATCCAGAGGTGCAGGAAGGTGGGACATTCCCTCACCAGGGGCTGGTGGCTGGAGACGGCTCAGATTTTCTGTAGTTCTTGTATTGCTTGAGAGGAACAAGGAGGAATTTGAGCCCCCCAGCTTTTAAGTGAAGGGGAAAATTGATATTTCAGTAGTTTTGGGAAGGATTTCTTACATGTTTGAAGCTGGCTGTTGTTCTTTCCCAACAGCCAGCTATGGCTGAGCCTGTGTATGAAAACTGGGACAAGCTCTTAGATTTTGAGTGTGATATATACATCATATATCTTCCTGTGTCATAAATGCCATGCTTTTATTTCATTCTGATCATTTAAAGGCTTCAGGTTCTCCTATCCTGTCAAATTTTGAGTGCCTGCTGCTGTTGTACAATGGTATCTCCAAAGAGAAATGAATGATGGTCCTATACAATCACTAATTATACACTAATAGTGCTTCATGACATCTGTTTTTCTCCTCTTCTGATTTGCAGGGAGTAGCTATGGAAACACCACAAATGAGTGGGCAGGGGAATTTATTAGCTTCCTCGGGATAGTCCTATTTTGCTTAGTCAGTAATTAAGATCAATGTGATTAGAAAAGGCCATATTAGGGATGGTAAAATGACCTTTCCTAACTGCATTACCAAGCAAGCATTTCTGAAAAAGGCCTGCTAATAATGATTCATACAGAAAACAAAGGGCATAGCTACTCAATCTTCTCAGCTGTTTATGTGTCAAAATGCCTGTACCAAACCCCTCGTTGATACCCTGTAAAGATGTTTTCTGTGTGCCTTGTTCACCCATTGCAGAAGAAGAATCAGTTCATCAAGAGAAGCTGTCAGCATGATTAACACCTTAGCAAAAATATTTAGAGTTATCAGAGGTCTTGCTAACTGCTCTGGAGAGATTTACATCCCAGCTTGGATTAAAGCAACTTTGAATTTCTTTAAATAAAAGCCAGTAAAAGGCAACCTAATGCACTGCCCAATATGTTAGGACAGAATTTATTCTGGGTTATGTGCAGAAATTGGGAGGGTTTTTTTTCCCGAATCAGGGGTAAAACTGGTATTGGATATTACGGAAAACAATTTCACATGAGGGTTTGGCTTTGTAAGAAATGAAGTTAATACAGCTGGCATGCTCTGATCAAGGATATTTAAGATCTAAATTCCTTGAGTGTTTTCTTGGTCAAGGAGCAAAGGCTGGTTTTCCTATCAGCAAATCCACAGAAGTCAGAGGCAGATATTTGTCAGAGGCTTTGTCTTGCTCAGTCCTACCTTGGGCTTCATGGTTCATTAGGCTGGTAAAAGTACATTTAACCCTACCTATACATCATGCTGTGACTCCTGGCTCAGAATTCCACATCCCAGAGGATTTCATTGGCAAATAAAACGACTTTTGGAAGCAAAACCAACCAGAACAAAACGCACAGCCCTGAGCACAGGCGGTACAGGATGGTAAAAGCACAACAAACATTCACTTACCCGCGTCAGAGTTGTCAAAAATAAGAGTTACAGTTGCATTCTGAGGGCTGGGGAGTGCTTCTATGTCAGCTAAACAAGCCAAAACCTCAGTGTCCGTCGGAGTCAGAGTTAGGGTGCTCAGGGAATTGTGGAGGCCATGAGATCCTGGACTTTGCTGGGTAACATAGTTGGACTTATCAATCAAAGAGTCATTTGTCATCCAGGAAATGTCTGGAGCCGGGGCCCATCCTAAGGCTTCGCAAACAATCTCAATTGTTTGGTTGTCTTTTACTGTTAAGGTGCTATTTTTGATGAGTAAAGATCCATTAACTGTGGGAGGGAAAAGATGTTTTTGTTCCTTCAGAATGTTTTGCTGCATTGCTTCCCTGCTGGTAGCTTTAAATCTTATCTCACTACCCAGAAATAGCTATGCCTTGAGCTATGAAGTGGAAAACAATTATTAATACAGATACATCATATGCATGATGGAAACATGCAGGTATTTCAACTACATGGGCCCATTACCAAATATGTCTAAAGCACAAGTCTCAACTTTCAGTACCTTCCCAATAAAAAGCAGGAAATTGTACTTTTTAGCCATCTTGACACATATCCAGCTGTAGGACAACATTGTGAGGTAACAGTGTTTCTCTGTAATTTTTAAATATGCTCAGGTCATATAAGAGGTTTACAGGTAGGTGATGAGATGTTATCACTGCACCAAGCCCCTCCTTGACAAATGGGTAGTGCCTGGTGGTGAGATCCTGCTTTCCTGGCTGCAGGCTGATGAAGAATAAGAGATGGAGCAGGAAAAAACAGAGGCAGTTAAAACCTCTGCTATTGGCACTCTGCATAAAACCCTCTTGGACAATAAAATTAGGGTGAGGAGGGCAGGAGGCAAAGGATGGTAAATGGGAGCAGGGATAACTTGGGAAATTCCTCAGAAGATTCCCTTAAGTGCAGCAAAATCAAATAGCTTTTTTGCTGGTGGCTATGATGCCTCAGGTTTGAGCTTTTCTATGTTTCACATTCTGTGCTGCTTTAGTGTGTGGGTCTGGGCTTCACATTATGGGATGCTGAGCTCTGTGCACAGAGCAGAGACAAAACAATTCCTGCTCCAGCTGGGCACCAAGGACAAATGATCCAAACCTCAGGCCAGGAGCACAAACAGCGTGGGCTGGAGAGAGAAAAACAAGCAGGGTGGGACTGATGGGCTGGAGCTGGAATGGGACAATGAACTCCAAGGTGCCAATGGAGCAGAACTGATCCCAGGGAGAGCCCCGGGAGCGCTCGTGCATTTTGGGACCATTTTGGGTCATTTGGGTGCAGCCCTGGCTGGGCTCTGGTGCTGCCCAAGGTGGATCCATGGAGGAGATCCTTGAATAAATCCCTGCTTTATTCTGTAGCTCTGCTCCAGGGCAGCCATACACACCTTGAACAGAGAGAAAGGCAAAGTTGTTCTCGCTGGGTTGCTGGATGCTGCACTCGATCCGGCCAGAGTCACTCAGCTGGGTGTTGTGGATGATCAGCTCCGAGGTGAACTCATCCCCACTGGTGTAGTTCCTGGAGCTGAAGCGTTCTGTGGTTTCCACAGAGCCCTGGGAGCTGAGGACAGTGAGGACAGGACTGCCCTGGAAGAGCCAGATGAGGATTTTCCATCCTGCAGACACCGTGCAGTTGAACCTGGCCTCTGAGCCAGCCAGGACTGTGGCATTCTCAGGGCCTTTTGTGATGGAGTAACAAAAGCCCAGACCTGTGAAGGAAACAAAATCAGCCCATAAATATATATATACAGCACCAACAGAGGTGGTTGGATAGTGTAAAACATCTTAACTGGTTCAGAGATGGAGGTGTTCAATCTAATCTTTTAGATCCTGCTTAGATTAAGTGTTTTTATTTAAAAATGCCTTTAATTATTTCATCTCTCCTTCTCCCTCCACAAAGTCACCTGTTTCTCTTTAGTAATTCACTAACTACCATTTTGCTGACAGTAAAAATTCCATTTTTAAATGGAATTTGAGTGGTCTACACTTTAAATAATTAAAGGAGTGTGTAACCAATCCCTTTTCCATATCTTGGATTGCCACTGATTTTTGGCAGCCCCATCATTTATCCTTCAAAGCTCTTTCCCCTGTTCCTCAACCATCCACCACACACATTGTGATGTATTTCTTCTAAAGCCTCCCCCAGGCTTTCTGTCAACCAGAGGTGCTGTAACTCATTAGTTCTAACCCATGAAGGCAGTGTGAATTTTGGCCAGTATTTTTCAGAGCTGAAAGCTCCTAACAAAGTCATTTTGTTTTCCTTTCCTCCTCATAGACCCAGGGCCTCCCATTGCCAACTCCACCAATTTCACAGGAATATTTTGAGTCCAAGCATGGACATTCCCCTCCCTGCAAGCCCAACAGTCCTGCCAGGTGGATCTGCCTGAATGTTCCCTCCCTCCCCAGGGAACAATCCTGCTGAGGGAGCACCAGGACTGACAGTGGTGCCCCAATGCTCCCAGCTGAGCTCTGCACCATGACAGCAATTAGACCTTCAGTCCATGGCAGTCTAATTAAAACAGCAAATTTGGCCTGAGAAGAAGTGTTCAATTATGTTCCAGGAGAAAGGAAGCCTGAAATGGTCATCACTCCCTTGCTAAGAGTGTTCAGGACAATTAAGTCATTTTTAAGGGTTTTGTTCACACCAAGTTTGGGTTTTTTTAGGTAGTTTATTCATTAATGGATTAGCTATGAATTATTGAAAAAACTTTTCTTCCAGTCAGCAGCTAATGTGAGAAGGACACGCTGTATTTTGCACACAGCAGGGCTGTTTGGTGTTTGTATAAATGGAACCAGAGCCCAGGCTCAGTGAGGACATTGCAACCAGTGCCTCAGTGAGCTGCACCCAGGACTAGGGTTTGGAACCTCACTCCTCCAGTGCCCAGAGCCTTCTGCAGTTCCCAGCCCACATTTAACCACTGCACATCCAGCCAGGAATTGCTCTTTAATATAAACACTCCTCTCTTCCTCCCACCCACTGCAAGCATTTACAGAGCTCTTTGTTTTTCAGGATTGTGCAAACCTTGCTCTCCCTGGTTCTGTGTATGGCTGACTCCGAGTTCTGTCATGTTTACAAAAACCTTCACAAAAATTTTCCACCTCCCTGGGTTATGTTACTGCTGCCATGCTCCTCAGTCTGCAAAGTATATCTGTGTGTGAGCAACAAAACATTAAACGAAAAGCAAACTTTACCTACTCTGATAATTAATAAAGCCAGATAAGATTAAGTAAATCATGATTCTGTTAAAATTAAAATTTACCCACTCTTAAAGCAGTGTTCTCTGTGCACTTGGAATTTATTTCCATGCCTGTGCAAACTCTACTTTTTCAAGGAACTGTGGTCTGCCAGGGCTCTGAATAAATGATGCAACTTTCAGGACAATGCTTGCTGTTAATTAATCTATAAAATTTATCCCTAAACAGGAATAATCAGTGATCATTTGCTCTGAAAATAATTGGCTATTTTGCTTTTGCTTTCTTCAGACATTCAGGACAGTATAGGCAGGTAGGTATGAGTTAATCATTTATCTGTGATAATTATTTTTTATCAGTCCATAGGTAAGGCAGGATCTACATCTTCTTCCACCAAGCATGTCTGCTGGAGCAATAAATGCTCTTTCCCTGATTGCTGCCCCACAAGGAAAGGTTCCTGAGCCCTGCATGGGGATCCTTTGGGAGGCAGAAGGACTGAGGAATGGGACATAACCTCTCCTCCATTTCGATCCCAGCCCCAGCACTACCAATAAAGGAGTTTCACCAGCTTTCTCCACCTGTGGCCTGAATGGTTTTGGTGATTTTACCTTTGCCTCTTTATCTTCTTGCTTTTATTGTTTGTTCTGCACGTGGAGTCCTGAACCAACAGCACGTTCCATTGTCCAACCCGTGCACAAACACTGACAAAGTCACCTGTCTCAGGTCACAGAGGACATTCATGGCACAAATGGGATCTCAACCCAGCTAGCAATGCCTCAAACCAGTGCTGGGAGCCCCTTTGCTGGACCTTGCCTCATGCACTGGGGAGAAAAATGTTAGTGCTGCTTTCATTTGCATCCTGCTTCAAAAATACCTTGCAGATGGTTGCTTTTAAACAAATTAAGGCCTCAGGCTAGATTTTCATTGCACTTTACAGAATGACTGTTCAGCTCTTAGCAGCTGTTTTAACATCTGCTTCCCCACACAGCAGCAGGGAGACATCCCAGCCAGGCAAAGACCATCCTTGCAGCAGGGAAATGTTGGGCTGGCTCCCTGCCCACCCCATGGCTTTTGAAAATCAGAGCTGAGTGAGGACACCTTCTTTGAGGCATATCACTAAATGTTTACAGAGCAGTCACCAGGGGTGAAAATTTGCTGCAATTCAGTGTTGATGGTGTCCCAGGTGCTCGGTGCCTCCCAGCAGCACGCAAACTCAAACCAACTCCTTTAGGAGCTGGTGCTTTCCCTCCTCTGCCACACAAATTCACTGTCACACCGCTGCAGGTTGGGAAGAAATGAAAATGCATCTTGTGCAGGATGATGCCTGCACTGAGGGAACCTCACTTGCCGAAGAGCCACCCTTGATCTTCATCAACAATGTTTTTTCTTCCATGCCTGAGTGAACCTCAAAGGACCACTCTTGTTTTCAACAAGGGCATTGAGACGTGGCTCCCTTCTCCTCCTTGCCTCCTGTCCTCTGCTGGCTCTGTCTTTCCTCTTTTGTGAGTGACCTATTTGGATGCAGCACAGGGAAGGACAGGATGGGCTTATCCTTTTGCCATGATGATTCCTCTTTTTTTTCAGCCTCATTATGGTATTTCAAAATAATCTCCCCCTCTCTACCCATATTGCCCTTCCACAAACACTGCTTTTCATCTTTCAGTTTTTGTATCTAATATCTGTCTTTCTCCCTTCCCTCTCTGCTCTTTCTGTTTGAATTTCTACATCTTTTTTCTTTCCAGTCTCTTTGAAATTCCTTTTTCTCTTCACTTTTTCTTCAGTCTGCTGCTCACCCCACCCACCTTGTGTTCTCACCTCCCCTTGCTCACCACTGGCCCACTGCTCCAGCCACAGCTTTGCTATCAATTGTTAAATACACAACAACAAAGAAAGAAATAAACAGCTCAAGTTTGTCTCAAAACCCAACAGCCCTGCAGCTGAGCTTTCTGAAAGCCAAAGTAGGTTAGAGCTTGTCAAAGCCTGCAGCGAGGGACTGGCTTGTTCACTTATGTTAACAAGAATTTTTAAATGCTTACAAGGATGTTTCTGTCAAGTAATACCAGACTCTTGATGCTCAGCAACTCTTATTTCCTCCCACCTGCACACAAACCTCTCCACAGCCCCCAGGCATGTCTTCCTCTCTCCTCTCACTTACTGTTGACAGCAATCCCTGGTAGAGCTTCCCAGTGCCCCCCAAAAAAAAGAGATCCAGGGACTTCCTGAGCCAAAAAATTGCTTCTGCAGCTATGGATATAGCCTTTATGATATTTGTTTCTAGGTTTTTTCAGCCTCTTTGTAATTTGATATCTCCCACAGCCAGTGACCATGAGCTTTACTATTTAATTACATACTGTGAGAAAAGAATAGTCTTTGGTTAGCCTTAAATCCGATACTTTTAGTGGTTGCCACAAATTCTTTTGGTTATGAGAAATTGTGAATAATCATTTCACCATTCACTTCCATATAATTAATCATTTTAATGCATTTTTATTATTTATTCTTCTTCACAAGCTGGCAAAAGATATTCCAGTCTAATGAAGCCTCCTCATCCTTCCATCCTAGACAAGAGGGACGTTGGATGTCCCATCCTGGAAGTGTTCAGGGCTGGATGGAGCATTGAGGAACCTGATCTGGTGAAAGGTGTCCCTGCCCATGGTAGAGAAGTTGGAACTGGAAGATTTTTAAGGTCCTTTCCAAACCAAACTCTCCTATGATTCTTTGATTCTCTACTTTTGAACAGCCCAGTCACACTTTGTAGCTTTCTCAAACCTAACCTGTAATGGAAGGGTTAACAAAAGAGCCAATATCTGAGATGAAACCTTTCTGTGGATTTACATCATGCCAGGTTTCATTTTATCTGCCTTGCTGAAGACATTAAATGATGAAATTTTCTCTCTTTTTCAGCAATTTATTCTCTCCAAGACATCTATTCTTTTCTCCACTAGACATTGCATTTAAGAGATGCTTTGCATTAAATGCTTTCTTTGCCTCTCTTAGTGACTCATCTGATATCACGACATTTTCTGGCAAATCTTCCTAGTCTCTTTTTGGATTTGGCTGCCCTAAGTAATTCTGCACTGCTTGCAAAGTCTGCCACCTCACAGCTCCCTCTTCTTCACCAGGTTGTTGAAGAGCTTGTTGAATACCACACATCCCTGTGCAGCTCCGCTGCTCAGAAAACTCAATGTTTATTCCTTCATTGTGTTTCCTTTCACTATTAATCTATGACAACACCTTTCCCCTCATCCCACTGCAACTCGTTCCTGTCAGAGCCTGTTAAAACTCCAGCTAGACTATAATTAAAAAAAAATCAGCCTTGTCTCCATTACCCAACTAGTCACTTAATATTCACTTTTCTTCTAAAGCTTTGCCACCAAAACACTTTTAATCTGAATTTACTTTGAGACTCAGGCATGTGAAGTGTGAATTGGTGGTAAACCAGCAACGTGATAATTTGCATTTACTTCTGGAAGTAAAAACCAGCTGCTGATATTGAGTTTTCTACAGATGCACCCTCAAAAGCAGTCCCAAACAGGAGGAAAAGAACAAGGAGAGGGAGAAACAGAAAGAAGGCAGCCCTCCCACCTCCTCCTCACCCCACACACTGCTCAGTCCTTCACACTGGAGCACACTTTAAATCATCAGATTGTTCAGGCTTGAAATACAAACACCCCCCCTTTCAAAAGCTGAAATAATCCCACTCTGGCTGAGTGCTCAGTCTGAACTCATCAGCAAAGGCCATTTCCACCACACTGAAATGAGTGCCCATATTTTGTCCGTGAACGTGTCCTACCTGGCAGCGAGGCAGTCAGGATGAGGGGAAGTAAAATGGATTTCTGGACGCTCTCCATTGGAGCATTCTCTCCTGCTCTCTGAGGCAGGGAGCCACCAGTGGTCACTGCATGCTTGAGAAGAAGCTGAAGGACAGAACTCCTGGAGAAACTCGGGAATGAGCCACTGCTTTGGGTCCTGTGGCAAGGGTGACTTTGTGTGACCTGTACCACCAACAAGGGGAAAGGATTAAATCAAGGAGGGTGTGGAAGCAGAGCAGAACCCTTCCTCAAACAGCTGTTTCAAAAGACACAGAGGAACTTTTTTCAGCAGAGAAACCTCCTCCTGCAGATCTCCCACTGCTCACCCCCTCCTGGCTGTCACAACACTCCTGCTTCAGCACTGACAGGGTCAGGGCAGCTCCAGCTGCATCACTAAAGTTACTCCTGAGCGACTGGGAAAAATAATTCTCCTGATCTGCTGCACTTGTAAGGATGAGAAACATCAAGTCTCCTCCCAGCTGCCCAGACTGAGCCCTCAGAAAGGCTGACAGTGCAAAAAAGGTCCCCAGATTTATTCCTCAGAACCTGCGTGCCTCCTATATCCCACAATAAACCACCAGCATCTCTCCACTGTGGTCGGACATAATACACAGATTCTGGATGTGAGACACCACCTTACTTCCACATTGTCTGCTTTATCACTGTTTGTGATTCACTTGTGAGATATTATCCTCCTCCCCCTCAAAATATGTGGGAGAGGCTTTGACTGCACTTGGTTTACAGATTCCTCATCTGGGTCCCTGGGGCTTGCTTTTGTGAAAGGGACCGAGCCAGAGGATGTGGTTTTGTGGCCAGACCAAATTTCTTGTCAGGAAAGTGTTTCTGACTCCAGAGGTGCTCTTTGTGGCAGCACTGTGCAGTGCATAAAAATTGTCACCACAGAGATACCCTGGGGGTTCTGCTCAGCTGCAGCACCAGGAGGTACCGGAGCTCTGTTCATTGCTGGAATCTGGCAGGCTCAGCTGGCATTTTCACCCATATTTTCCCATTTTTCAAGCTTTCATTTTACCTTGGGAACCTACAGGACAACCCTGTCAACTTATCAACTGTTTCCAGCCAAACCTGTGGGCTGGTTTCTTCACCTATGCGTTCAAAGACTAGCTTGGTTTGCTTAGTGCATTTTGAAAGGTTTTGGTTTTTTTTTTTCTCCATATTTTATATGTGGAGGAGTCCCCAGCAGGAAGTGGGGTGGGAGGGTCACTGTGCACATCCTGGAGGAATTTCTCTGTGCTCTGTCACACACAAACCAGTCAGGATTACAGGAGTGGTATCATCTGTCATACCAAGTGAAACAGACCGAGTAAAGCACCAGGAAACAAATCCAAACCACAGGGCTGGGTCCTTTATCCAGGCAGCCGTGACACCAAGCAGGATTTGCAGCCAGAACAGTAGCTTTCATACCTCCCCTGACAGATCCAGCTGCACCAAAGCAATCTGAGCTGGGTGAAGTTTTACATAGTGAAGAATAAAGTGGCAAGAACATTGTGCCAAAGCCAGGACAAAAATCAGTAAACAAGTAAATCAGCTTGGGGTGAAATAGAGCAAGGCAGGAAAGGGAGGGATCTATAATATTTTGTTTTTCTTTGTTTCAAAATGGACTTTCAAAGGGCTGGGAAATATTGTCTAATCCCCAGATGAAACAGGATATTTTGGCTGATGATGAATTAAATGTCTGGGTTTGTTTTGGGCTGGTTTTCCCCTCCTCTGCTGGTGCATGGGGTGAGTCAGGTTGCCAGTGCTGCTCTGAGCCTGCTGCCTCCCTCATCCACGACACAGACAGGGAATAACAACAAAACGTGGCCCTCAAGGAATGGCAGCTGGACCCAGAGAGGGGCCCAGAGGCTTTGGGCTCCCCACGATGGACACCGACCCCAAATGCCAGGAAGCAGGATAGGAAACAGAGCCACAACGCACTCCTGCCAGCCCAGGAGCAGGGAAAAGGGCCAAAAGGGCTGAATTATCTTCCAGCCCCTGGTTGAGTCGGCCGGGAGGCAAATCCAGGCTGGCGAGGGGCTTACCTGGATCACATCCCCGACAGCTCCGGCGATGCAGGCAGGATCCCGGGCCAGCCCTCACCTGCTCCGCAAGGAATCGTCCCGCAGGTGTGGGGACACTGTCCCTGAGGGAAGGGACCTGCTCCGAGCTGTCCCTGCGCCGCAGGCCGCGCCTGGCACGGGGACACGCAGGGACGGCCGCGGCCTTCCCCGCCCTGTGCGGTCAATGTTTAACCGGCCGGGAAGGGAGGCACGGC